TTTTTTATGCTAAGACATTTGAAATTTATTTTTCTCTTCTTTGCAATACATTTTGACAGACTGTAATTCCCCTGATGAGTCATACCTCTGAAAACTCAGCCTTGTGGTGTGTCTTAAGCTTTGTGCCCTGACCAGCATCTCCTCATCCCCTCCCGCTCCACACAGCCTCTGGTAACCTTCATTCCGCTCTACTTCCACAGACACTGTTGAGGTCCTCACGGACGAGGCCGTGTGGTGTTGTCTGTCTGTGCGCGGCCTGTCTCACCCAGCGTCATGTCCTCTGGGTCCTGTCACACAATCACACTGCCCCCTTTTAATGGTTCAACAGCACTGCTATGTGGATATACGTTCACAGTTTCTTTACTCATGTCATCCACTGACAGAGAGTTCATGTCCATGCCTTGATTACTGTGAAAAATGCCGCAAAGACCTGCTGGGTTATATGACTGATGACATCCTCTGATGCTCAAACTTTTTCAATTTTGCTAAAGTCCAATTTACCTATTTTTGGTGTGGCCTATGCATCTGGCGTCATAACAAAGAAACCATGCTAAATCCAATTTCAAGAAGTTTTCATCCTGTTTTCTAGAAGCTTTATGGAGTTTGGCTCTGATATTAAGGTCTTTGATACACTTAAAATTGACTTTTATATAATGTTAGGTGAGGGCTTAAATCAGTTTTTTCCATGGATATCCCATTTTTCCAACATCCCTTGTTTAAAAGATTATCCTTCTATCATTGAACAATCTTAGCATCCGGATCAAAAACTCATCTGGTCCCAGGTACAGTTGAACAGCAAGATGCTTTCCAAACTCTGTAACTCGATAGGACACCTCTGTTTTACACCAATTAACTCTGTCTTTCAAACGAGTCAGCAGAGATTAATGTTCACAACATTAAAAAATGAGGTGATCGATATGCCCTCCTCTCCGATCTGTCCGCACACTATAAAATATATGCAAAACAGATACTGTGCCCATAAAGGTGCACATTTATCATGTATTAACTCATCTTTAATTGACTCACTGGCCAGTGTACAAGAACAGCTCTGAGCTGCCTATTCTATTTCACTAATCTATATGTCTGCCTTTATGTCAGACAATTTGATTATTGCAGATTTGTACTAAAATTATTGTTGTAGAAATTTTTAATCCCAATCTGGGTTTCTACCCCACCTTTGATCATTCAGTTCTCAGATAAAAGACACAACTTTTATTATTTACAATAAGCCTTACTTTGTACTAGAGCTGGGTAGATATCTACCCTCTATGCTATTAAAATCTATTTTCTATCAATAACCGGAGTTATTACTTACTACACGCCGTCTGGGCTGCTCTTGACTCCAATTGGCCAGCCCTCAGGGCCATGTTTGCTTGACTCCTAACCCATGGAGACTTTTTTTCTCCTCCCCTTCCTCTTCCTTCCCCTCCGTCTCTTCTTTTTCCTCCTCCTCCTCCTCCTCGTCTTCCAGCCCATCCAACCTGGCACCTTTCATTTCATATCTTCTTTCATCGACTCTGACAGCAGTATTTGATAGCGCCAAGTCTTTTATTTCCTTGGCAGAGTTGATTCTAAGTATTTATTCTTTTCATTTGCTCTCCTAAATAAAATACTTCCTTAATTTCCTTTCAAAAAGTTCACTGTTACGGCTGGGACTATTGCTCAGTGGCTGAACATTTGCATGAGACACTAGGTTCAATCTCTAGAACTGCCAGGAAAAACAAAAGGAACTCTGAATGTTCGTGGTCAAGATTAGCATACAGAAGTATAGCTCATGTGGGTGTGTTCACTTTGTTAGCCAGCGTTTTGCTGGTTTTGCTACTTCAGTTCTGAGAATGTTCTGTAGAACGTTAAGGCTCTTCTATAAACAAGTTTGTGTCTTCTATGGATATCTATTTTCCCACTTTTAATTGGGCACTTTAATGTCGTTGTCTAGACTAATGGTTCTGTGTGGGGCTCCTAAGACTCTTTCGAACAGAAGTGGTCACAGCTGCATCCTGTGTTCTTCCTGATCTTAGAGGGAAAGCTGTCAGTGTCCCCACTGAGGGACCGTATTGGCTGGGCACTTCCATTTGTGACCTTTGTGACACTGAGCTAGACCAGTGTTGTGACACTGAGCTAGACCAATGCTCAGCATTTTTGTCATTAAAGGCTGTGAAATTTTGTCACCTTTTTTTATTGATCCAATCTTATTGGTTGTACATCTGTTCGATTTTATGTTTCTTTACACTTCCTTCTGTGCAGCGTCCAGGATTCTAGGAATCTGTTTGTTGCCTCTAGGCCACCCAACTGCTAGCATATAACTATTGGGTGCGCTTAGAATTCTTAGTATTCTGAAGAGGGGATGGCAAGGTCTCAAATTTCAGTAATAGCTACTTCTTTTCTCAAAGTTAATCTGGGAAAAGGTTGCCATTGTTAATCATTTTTGAACTTCCGGCGCGCCAGCTTTCCGTACCCTAGTCTCCGCCTTGTCCTCTTCATTCTGATCACCACTTCCCTCCCTCCGCTGGTTTGACAGAGCTTTCTGAGACAAGAGTCTCATTATATAGCCCAGAGTCTTCTCAAACTCACAATCCTCCTGCCTCAGCCTCTGAATGCTATGATTCCGGGCTGCATTACATCCTTTACCTGGCTCCTAGTAGTTTTTAAGTATTTAATATAATAACCAAGTGATATTTTTGTCAAACTCACACACACACACCCTGGGAGTAAGAATGTTAGCTGTACATATTCCTACCATTCGTGTTAGCCTTGATGTCAGGCAGCCAGCCTTACCTCTGATTAACCACACAGAGTTGAGCACTTTTAAAACAAAAACATTTTAAGCCTCAGGTTTTTTTCACTCTTTAAATGAAAGTAATTTCAATGTGGCAGATCTGTCATATAGATAAAAACAGACACAAATACGGGGCCAGCTACGTCGTGAATACTATTCTCACAATTACTAACGTCAGCATATATGACCACTCGAGCAAGCTGGCCAGGGTTGACCCTCAAATGGTTATATACAACAAAGAGTAAAGACGTGTGAAAGATGTTATTACATCAGGGGCTGGGGACACACACGTTATCCAAAAAATGAAACCACGTGGCTACTAAATAAAAATGAGAGAAAGGGGGGTCTGATCCAAAATTTCAAACCTGCAAAATTACTAGTTTTCATTCTCCAGGATATAGAGGATACAGCTATGACAGGCTTAGACTGTGAGGGTGAGACTGGGCTAGCCCTCAGACCACATGCAGATATGATCCCGTGGAAACAGAGGAGGAAGTGTGTCTGGCTTGAACAGAGTGCCTGCAAAGTTGAGACTGAGTACCACCCACAGTCACACTGCAGAGAAAACGGGATCTGGCAGAGTCTGCCTTGCTTGCCTACCCCACTGCAGAAAGCATGGTCTCTGTGCCTTCTGATAATTAGATCATGGCCTCAAAGGACCACTTACTCATGGCTGCCACAACTGAGACCCTGTGGAACCCATGGAGCCATGAAAACACAAAGTTTTAGCATACACAGCAGCAATCACCCCGTCTCACATTCCCACAGCTTCAGGTGATTGCCAGGATAAAAACTGACGGAATTGGGGGAGTGAAGGAACAGGGAGAACCAACTTAGGAAACGGTCTGAGGGGAAGAGGCATTTGCTAAGCACCTCACACTTCAACTCATCCAATCAACCTTCCCACAGAAAATATATTCCCCAAAAGGGCAAACAGAAATGACATCATACTGGAAATTCTCAAGGACACAGCACTGGAAAAGACCTTCACTACATTCCTTCTTGCCTTCTCTTTCCCTGACAACAGATGTAAGAGGTGGAAACCTCTCAGAGGGTGCCATTTCTGGCATCGTGATCGGATGCGTGGCTGTGGTGGCTCTGATAGTGGTGCTGGCCTATTTCCTCTGTTCCAAGAAGACTCGCTGGTAGGATGGGCTTTCTTTTTTGTTTGCTCTCTTTTTTTGTCTTAGTGGCATGCTCTCCCTCAGCCTGAGCTGGAGCCCTTTCTCTCCTTTCCTAAGCCTCTGCTTCTCAGCACTGACCCTGTCTTCATGGTCTCTGCACACCTCTGGTTCTTGGTATCCACTCCCACCTACTTAGAGACAGATTCAATTCTGTCCTTCTATCTTCTAGTCAGGAAGCCAAGGTCCAAGAAGAGAGAGAAGGGAGGGGCTTCAAGAAGCAGCAAGACTAAGCAGGTAGCAGCATGTCCTGCAGCAGCAGGAGAGACAGGAGATAGGTCGAGAAGAGACCCTAAGATGAAGAAGAAGCATTAAAGTCTTCTTGGTCAAGAACATGAGTAGAGAAACAAAAGAGCTAGAACTGCCTGCTGTAAGCCAAACAGGACAGGTAAGAGGTAGGGCAGGTGCAGGGGCTCCTAAGAAGCTCCAGCCTGAGGATACAGCTCACTAACAGTGAAGCGTCAGCCCTTGGTGTGGTCATGGCACCTGGGGGCAAAGAGGGAAGAACAAACTAACCATCTCGATAGCAGGGATCAAGATTAGATTGAGTGGTGAGGACCAGGAGGGAAGGCAGTGCCAAGCTGATGAGAGGGGGCATCACTGACACCGAGGAACTCCCAGGAAGAAGCTGCCCACGGCGTCCCCCCAACTCCAGGAGCCAAGGGCCCCCCGTGTGTGGGAATAGTAGTCACAGTGTCTGATATTTATTTAGGGGAAGTGACGAGCGAGATCTCACAGAGCACAAACCCTTAGCCTCCAATCACAGTAAGTAAAGCCAATCACATGGTGAGAATTGATGTTCTACCGTGTATCCTGCTCTGCCAGGGGATCCTGGGATCGTAGACCATGCCTTCCTTTCAGAAATTTTATGGAAGGGATCTCTACTTCCCAGTGCTAAGGACCCCACAAATCATACCCTTCCCAGCTACAGAAGAATGGCGTGAGAGAGCCCTGGAGAAGGGCTCATTCTACCTAGGCATTTTCCCGGGAGCCATCCTAATGTCTTCCCTGCCTCTATAACAAATGTGGGAATTCTACCTTGGGGAAACTTTCTTTGTTTTGTGGCATATCTGGGTGCAATGGCCTCTGTGTTCCTCCTTGCCACTGGAGCATGCTGCTGAGAATCAATTCTGGGCATCTTGTGATCTGGGTAAGACAGAGATGGCTCTATCCTGCTCCTCCTCTGACACTAATGCAATGGGTCTGAACCAGACTCGGGGGGAAGCTAATTCCTGAACTGATGATGGCCCACCCCCTCCACCTACTAGAAATCATAAAGCCTTATTCATATGCACTGATAACTCTCTCTTGCTCCCCTAGATCTGGGACCTTCTGACAACTCTCCTAACAAGGTAAGCACTGCCACTTTTCACTGGCCGTTTGCTCTAGAAAATGTCTCTGAGGAAAGTAGGATATCTGTATTGTTTTGGTTAGTTTGTTTGTTGAGACAGGGTCTCACCACGCAGTCTTGGCATCCTTTTGAACTATGTAACCAAGGCTGGCCTTGAACTTGTGGCCATCCTCTTGCCTTAGCCTTTCATGTGCTGGGATGACAAGCGTGTGCTACAGTACCAAGCTGAGAATGAGGTATTCTTGGAGACATGACTGTGAAATCCAGTTTGGGTCTACAGTCCTCAATGTTGAGCAAAGAAAGATTGGGTCGTGAGTCCCATGAGTCTAATACAAGAGTGTGTGTGGGAATAACCTCCACCCTGTGTTTAATTTCTGGCAATGACCCCTCGTGTTCTGTGGCCCTTGTCAAGGGACTTGAACTCTGATCCTCAAGCTTTGTCACCCAGGCAATGGGCATGCTGCCTACCTCAAAAAGAGACCAAAGGGATCAAGCAGGTTGGCATGTGCACAGCACTGCCCACGGATAGCAGCACATCATCCTCTGTCCTTCAGTCTAGACCCACTCTGACGTCAAAGAATGGCTTCCATTCTAATGGGTCTGAGACCCTCTTCCTTCATTTTATACAATTTTACCAAGATGTTACCATTTAAGCCTTTCAACAGAGTACACACATGGACCAAAGAGGGCTCTGAGTCGTAAGGATATTCTCAGTGTGAACTCTCAGGGGTGGACCCACCCGCAGTGAGCACACAAACCTGCCAGACACACTTTGCTGTCACGTTCCCTACAAAGGGCAAAGGCAGTCAGATGGTGCACATCCTTACACATCTGGCTTCCATTCCGCTCTGTAGCACATCTGGATGTCTGACTGTGAGTGACAGGGGCCCTCTCCCACAGCTCCGCTTGTGCAGAGGCCACAGCACAGTGGTGCTGGATCACCGGCAAGGTGAGGCTCGGCCCTGTGGTCCTGATGTCACTGATCAACACTCTTACTTTCAGGTGGATGACGTCGCATACACTGTCGTGAACTTCGGTGTCCAGCAACCCAACCATCCAACTTCAGCATCTCCATCTCCAAGAGCCACAGAAACACTTTATTCAGAAGTAAAAAAGAAGTAAGCATTGTCTGACTGTCTGTCCTGCTGGCTACACCAATGATGCATTCCCAGACTCTCTCCGTCACTGGAGAGTCTCTGCACACACACACACACACACACACACACACACACACACACACACTATTGGCTCCTTCAGTGTTGTCAATAGAAGAAAAGGTGGATCCTGGAGCCTACAGAAAACTCAATCCTTCTAGGCACTAAAATCTGGCTGAGAGAGAGGTACCAGAGCTGCCCCTTCACTTTCCTGACCCAGATTGTTTTAAATAAACTTATTAGAAGTGCATTCATTCCTCCCCCAACTCCAAGTCCTGCCCTGTCAGAGTCTGACTCGAATTTCCATAAACCTTGGAGGTTACCTAAGTGCTTATGACCAAAAACAAAACAAAACAAAACAGAACAGAAGCAGGAAATGGCCAGTCCCATCTCTTTAAAGGCTGGTGTGAAGCCACCACACACAGGAAGATCAGACCTACAGGCAGTAGTTCACTGGGCAATCTACATACCTGACAACTGCCCTGCTTACCCATCTGTGGCATTAGAGTCTCTGAACCTAGTGTCTTCACACCTGAGCCCTTCTCTGAACCTTTCTCCAGAAAACCCACTCAGAGCAACTAGAAAAGCTGACAACAACCATAAGCAAGTGCTAAGCAGGATGCAGGAGAAAAGACAGCATCTCTGACATCTACCAGGACGGTGCCCAGGGTAGGAGGGCTGGAGCCTTTGGAATGACAGACATCTGGAATTTGAAAAAGGAACAGAGAGATACTCTTCGTAGAGTGTTGAAATTATTTTAAAAGAAACCATATTTAAAGGTATTGGAGTTTTCCTCTTTTTAAGACAATCCACTGTTTGAAATCCTTAGCTCCTGACTTTCCTTCTAAGTGAGCTGACCAATTTGCCTTAGGGCCGCTAAATTTTCTGCCTCCATTGCCCCCCCCAAGCCCTTTTGATCATGAGTTCCAAACCAAAAATAAATAAATGAAGAGCGAGGCAGTCCCTTACAGAACCACTGTCATGGGTCAGGCTAAGGCTACTACTTTTCTGAATTAGTCAAGAAAAGCCTGGGTTTTCTTTTTACCATGTTTTTACCTTGTCTTTGGGATACTGGCCAGAGCCTGGACAGTCTTCCTCTGAGATCCTCAGTGTGTCTGTCTTGTTGCATTTCTCTTAAACTCTAACAAAACTGTCCTCAGCTTTGAAAAATAAAATAACAACAAGCTTTCCCATTCACACCAAAGAGAGACCCAATTGGGTTTCTGGGAATCTAGGGCCAGCCTCCAGCTGCCCGTCTGTACTGTTTCTGCCTTTGTCTCCCCTTTCTTTCTTACTTTTCCCCCCTTCTTTTGAGACAGAGTTTCAGCACATGGCCTGCGCAGGTTTCAGTCCCACAATAACGCCTTCTGTGGCATCCCACCTGCTGAGATCACAGCACAGGCCACCAGGCCTGGCTACCTGTACATTCTGTCTGCCCTGCGATCTCAGGAAACCTTGGCCTCTGCTACTGTCTGTTTGGCTCATGTGAAATGTACCCTTAAAGGAACACAGTCCCTCATGCCAGAGGCATTGTTTACAGCCTGGACCGCTCTGCAGTGCTCCAACGGAAATGTGCTGTTAGCAGGGTGCTCTTACCCAGCCCTGGCCTTTCTGTAGCCTCTGAAACCTGACTTTTCCACGGGGCATCAGGGATGAGTCCCAGCTGCAGGAGGAAAGGCAAATGTAGTCTCAGGAACCTTCTGTTCACAGGCACACCCTCTGTGCCTGTTAAGCAAAGGTTGTATTAGATATCAAATGTTTGGTCTCATGCCACGCCTAACAGGCTTCTGAGAGAATTGTTTAGTTCTCCTACTCAGGGATTTCTTTCAGGGATTTCCAGCCTTAACACAACCTGCGTATATTTTTGCTTCAGCCACACAATGCTGGGTTATTTAACTTTGCCTGGCTAAAGCCAAATCTGAGTTATTTGTAAATTATCTCTATGTGCATAATAAAAATTTATTATATATCACTGAAGCACTTTGTGGGTTTTTCTGTTTGTTTGTTGTTTGTTTCTGGTTTTGCCATGCTTTGGATGGAAGCCAGGGTCTTGCATGTGCTAGACACGTGCTCTACAACTGAGATACTGACACAGAATAGGAGCAAGAGGGGAACAGAAGGTACTGGAGAGAGCTCACTGTGAGGGAACATGTGGAGGTGTTTGAGTGGCTGGGGCCACGTGAGTAGGAGGAGTTGTTTGCTGGGGTGGAATACCCAAGTGACTCCAGCCACTCCAAGGCAGTAATGCAGCCTTCAGCTCAGAACATTCTCCACAGGTTCCCTCACACTCTCCAGTTCCCCCTGTTCCCTTCTTGTTACTACTCCCTGTCTGTCCTCTTAAACCTCTGACATGAATAAGTTCCACGAATTAATTCTGTTGAGTGTTCCTCTATCATTTCACGTCCTTCATTTGCAAGCCATGAAAATGCATGTGTGGCCTGCCCTTCCCCCTCCCATTTCACACCCAGGACACTGGAGACAGCGCAGACTCACTGTCCACTCTGGGATGGGGTCAAAGGTGTGCCTGCCCTCATACTTTACATCGTCCCAGCCCACAGGGTCTGAGCTGCTGCATCCACCACCTCCAACATATTGCCCTGATACCAGTCAGTCCTCAGATGCTTCGAATGTCCCCTTATCCCACCCTCCACTCAGCTCTGAAGATCTCCACCGATAGCTCCTGGGTGTATTTCTCAAGCTCCTACCTACGTCTTCCTGGAAGTCATGGCACCTGCTTCCAAATAAATACTCATTTGAAAAGGCTCATCCCCTCAGCACAACGATTTCTTTGTTTTACACTTATGTGTGTGTTATAGCTGTTTGTTTTTTAAACAGCATCTCCCTATATAGCCCTGCCTGACCTGGAACTCCATCTCTAAAGCAGGCTGGCCTTAAAGTCGCAAAGATCTGCCTGCTTCTACCTCCTAAGTGTTGGGACTAAAGGCAGGAGCACCAGACTGGGTCCCCTAACGTATTCTTCCATTCACACATATATCGTGTGTCAAGTATGTCTTCACTTCCCTGTCAGTCCCTCAAAGAATTCCTTAATTCTCACCAGACGTGTGCCCTCCACAGCCCATCCCTCCACAGCCCATCCCTCTAGCACACGTGCACATGGAAGTCTTCATCCCAGTGCTGTACCTAGAACGCCAAGCAGCACGAGTTCCCCCTGTGGTTTCCCACACCCTTCGTCATAATTAGATAAATAATTTCACATAGAGCATTCAAGTGAGGACATTATTCATGCAAGACACAAACTGTGTGTGGTTGACAACACTTCCTGACTTATATATTCATGAAAGATACAGACATGAGGAGATGGGTCCCTACTCTAGGGAACATAAATCCCTAAGACAGAAGATACAGAAAATTACAATTATACAAAATTTGAGAGGGAAAAAATATCTCAAATAAGACAAAGAAACTAGAGCTGAGGGAACATCCCAGAGACACAGCGCTTGCCCAGGAGGGCAGGGCTCTGTGTTTGATCCCCAGCACCGAATGAGTGTACAGAGAAACCCAATGGAAAACAGAAAATATGGCTACATGCTAGAATCATTGAGAAATATGTTAAACACACTCAGGCCCCATTCACAAATTCTAATTTAATTGTTCTGGAAGGAAATTCAAACAGTTGGTCGTTTTTAAACCTCCCAAGATGTTATTAGTGAGCAGTTGTGATATTTAGTGTTAGCTGTCACCTTGAGAGAACTGAGTATCGCCTAGGAGACAAGCCGCCAGGCACACCTGTGACATCTAAATCAGGCTAACCTACACGAGTGTCCGTGAGGAATGTCTTGGTTAAATGACTTGATGTGGGAAGTCTCAACTTCCTTGTGAGGGCCTTCCCTGTGCGGTGTGTCCTGGACTGTGTAGGTGGAGAGAGGGTATGAGTGACACCAAGCATATGTCACTCTCGGCTTCCTGAGTGGAGAGGATGGAACCAGCTGCTTCAAGCTCCTCCCACCTTAACCCTCCCACCATGGTAGACTTGACCCACGAGCCTGAATAAACCTTAAGTTGCTTTTCTTGATCTATTATTACGTCAGTGGGAAAGGAAACTGTGACAAGGTTCACGATGGAGGCCCCCCACCCCCTGATAGAGTAGGTAGACGCTAGGCCATGGCTTTTCAGCATGATGTGCGCGCATGAGCTGTTCTTTGAGGTGCAAACGGAGAGGTCCTCAGGAAGAAACTGTTGACAAATAGCTACGTTTTAAAGACGGACATTACCAAGTGTTGTGAGCAAGGGAATGGTTACCGCACTCACGGCTGTGAGATTAGGCGCTGCTGTGCATCTCATAGCTAAGCCATCTCTCCCGTCCCTGTCTCAGTTTTTAAAGATGAAATATGTACCTAGTTCAATCTACCGCATGCAAAACATCAATACCCACATTCTATTACTGTGATAAATTACCATATTTAGATCAGAGTTTTCTGCCATTTAGAGACTGGGTGAGCCTGAACTCCTTGTCATCCAGGCTCCACCTCTGGAATAGCTAGGCTCACAGGCCTGTGCACCTCACCACCTTATTTTAGGTGGGAATCGAACTCAGAGTCCCTGGTATATGAGGCCCTGAGGAGCTGCCCACTGAGATACACAGCCAGCACACAGGACCGTGTGCAGCTGTTACTTCACCGGTTCAGTTCCCTGCACTGACAGATTGAGGGCGACTTTGCCCTGATGACAGGTGGAGACCCACCTAAGGTCTTACCTGGCCTCTGGTCTCCCCCATTTAAGCAAAGGAAAGCTCCTTCCCACGTCTCTAATATCCCATGTCCCCCCAACACAAGCAAGTGAAACTCCCTGGTTTTGAAAGGCCTATTTCATTAGATTATACCCTCCTAGAAGATTTCTTCTTGATTAATCAAAACCAACTGATTTATAACCATAAATACACCTTCCAAATCCCGATTACCACAAGATAATATAACCATGGACATAAGGTGGGATCTGAATAGCATTCTA